GGGGGAAGTAGATGGGAGGCACAGCTACTGGCCAAATGCTTGGTCATTGGGTTAGTCGACGGCCCCACCGGCCCCAACCAAGTGGTGGCCCCACCCTACTCCCTGACCACCACTGACTAGTAAAAGGGGGGGGGTTGGGGGTGGGTTGGGGGGGGGGGACATGCATCCTGGGCGGCTGTGCATATTATGGGCCTCGCTCGACTGCTTAACATTCTACATGCATTTGGACGCATTTCTTGACGCGGTGCATTCGGAAGGAGTTCGACGTTTGAATGTACGGGGGCGATTATGAGCTCTAGGTGCATGTAGAGTGTCGTGTGGTGTGAACCAAAGCTGTATTTCTGTGTAGAGCTCTAGGTGCATGTAGAGTGTCGTGTAGTGTGAACCAAAGCTCTAGGTGCATGTAGAGTGTCGTGTAGTATGAGCTGTAGGTGCATGTAAAATACTCCTGAAAGACGTGGGTAGAGCGGGAAATACCCCTCTGAAATTTCGAAAGTTTGTCAATTGCCCATTTGGATGAAATTCTTAGCGTTCTACCCCTGTTAGGAGGTTGCACAAGTTTACTTTCTGCCCCTGACAGGGGTAGAACACAGAGTTGGCTACCTCCTGACAGGGGTAGAACAGTAATGAATTAAATCCAGAAGGGAAATTGACAAACTTTTGAAATTTGATCAGAGGGGTATTTCCCACTTTGGCATGTATGTCTGGAGTGTATTTTTTGGCTGTGACAGACCTTTCTTTGTTTCGTGGTTATGTGACAATATATATATATATAGAGAGAGAGTTTTCCATCTGGTGCGGGCGAGTGATAGTCTGCTTTGGTTTTCGTCACAGGTACCTTGAGGGCAGTGGTTGGTGCCCACCTCAGGGTATCAGTCGTCGGGCAGTCGTTGATGCTTAACCACAGCTGCCGGTTAAGGTGGATTATCACTTACAGTGTAATCAGTTAGGGGATTCTGCAGACTGTTGAGGGTTCAGCCTCCTGACGAGTCGGTGAAACTCCGACGAAACAGTTTGTCACAGCCCCCCTTGTTTGTTGTCCTCTTCTCCCTCTCTGCCTACGGTTTACCGGGCAGCTCTGTTTGACGATATATTTTATGATATATATGTATATATATATTGTTTCCCGTTGTTTGGCCTTTTGAGCGCGGGGCGGTGCTTGTATGTGGGAATCGTCATCCGGGATTGTCTGCTCTTTCTTTTTGGTTGTCACACTGGATCGGAGCCTTTCTTTTTGCTTTCTTTGCAGACAAGAATGTTTTGATATCCTGGTTGGTCTCGTCCCGTCGTTTGGCCTGTGAGTTGGGGCGGTGCTTGCATGTGGGACTTGTCATCTGGGATTTGTTTTGTTGCCCCCTGTTCTGTATTATTTGGCTGTTCCCTTCCTCTTTTCTTTGCCTCTTTGCCTTCTGGCTGTGTGCAAGTGGGTCGATATGACACACGGGGGTGGGGGCAGCCACCGCTCAACCTACATCCACGTGGGCGGCCTTGTACGCAAGAGGTTCTGAACAGAGGAAGTCTTGTAAGGAAGAAGGTTAAAAATGAATTGATATCTTTTTTGTTTTCCTTTTTTCGCTTTTGCGCTCTGATATTTATGTGATGATATATATTGTCACATGATATCAGAGCGCCAAAGCGCAAAACAGAAACAAGAAAAACTTAATTCATTTTTAATCTTCTTCCTTACAACTCCCCTGTTCAGAACCTCTTGCGTACAAGGCCGCCCACGTGGATGGAGCTTGAGCGGCGGCTGCCCCAACCCCCGTGTGTCATATCGACCCACTTGCACACAGCCAGAAGGCAAAGAGGCAAAGAAGAGAGGAAGGGAACAGCCAAATAAAAGAGAAAAGGGGGCAACAAAACAGATCCCAGATGACAAGTCCCACATGCAAGCACCGCCCTTGCCCACAGGCCAAACGACGGGACAAGTCCAACCAGGATATCAAAACATTCTTGTCTGCAAAGAAAAGAAAAAAAAAGTACCAAAAATAACCCATCCCGGATGACGATTCCCATATACAAGCACCGCCCCGCGCTCAAAAGGCCGAACAGCGGGAAACAACCAACCAGGATGCCAAGACATGTCAACTTTCAAGGGTATTTTGCAAAATTTGGCCAAAAAAAGGGAAAATTAATAAATATCTAGAACTCTATCTCAAGGATGCGGGCCATAGATTGTTGAGTGCTCAACCGATGGCCATCACAGTATTTATTATCCCTTAATCTGTGCTTGTGAGACCTCAGCACGGGGGGTCGAGGTTGTATGCATTGAGTTCTACAGCAGTGCTACCAATGTAAAAAGAGATGGGCAAAGACCAAACTTTCAGCACATTCAACAGGACTTTATTCCCGTGCATCTGGTCGGCATTGCGTTCAGTTGCAATCGCCAAAAGTGTTAGAATGCTGGAAACAAGGACACAAGGTGCCGAAGTGGCAGCGTGTAGTTCACAGGCGAAGCTCAAATACCACTGCTGGTATGCCACCGGTCGTCCATCCGTGTCGATTGCACTGTCTTCCTGTTTTTCTATGAACCTTCTAGTGCTTGTAGTTTGTTGGGTGCATCCGACGGCCATGCCGACCAGATGCACTGGAATTAAGTCCTGTTGAGTGTGCTGGAAGCGGGGCAATTTTGACCGGAATGTGCATTTGAAAAGGTTCTGCTGAGTGCGGCGGAAGTGGGGCACGAGCCTTGACGCGAACTGCAAAAGTGTGACACGATCTCACTTGCGAAGACATTGATTAGCACGGTGTCCCATAGAGGGGCTGCCTTTCACAAATTAGATAATATGCTTCTTCCCGGCTTGTGTGACCCGCTTTCTCAGGTGTACTGACCCTCTGGCATCGACATTGAAGAAAAGCTTAACCACTGGATCATCGGCCGTCAAGGTGATGCATGATCTTGATGGCTGACAATTAATTGACTCAGGCTTTCTTCAGTCCATGTGCCCATGGGTCAGGGTCCCTGAGGACGTCGGAGTTCGGGACCTAGCTGCAATGGCCAAAGGGTGGAAGGACTGATCTACCTTGTTAACCTGGTCAGTTTGAAATCCCCAGAATAGCCTATTAGCCTTATTTTAAGAGTGTTGAAATCCTCAGAATAGCCCTCTTTCAGAGAGGAGTTGAAATCCTGAGAATACCCCTCTTTCGGAGTGATGGAATCCCCACAATAGCCCTCTTTCAGAGTGTGACCTGCAGGGTGCAGACTGCTGGGTGCAGGATCTGTACCTCCGTAGCGCAGATTTTTCCAGGTATGTTTTGTCCAGGGTGCTTGGGTTACGATAACGCTTTTCTATGTCTGAAGAATGTAGGCTTGAGAGAAGACTCTGACCAGGACTTTCCAAGACGTAGCTGACCAGGATTATGGTCAGATTCCACCGAAGAAGTCCACATGTGCCCTGATTGACAAATGAACATTCGACCATCTTGTCGCTGGTCATTGATGTTTGTTCCCGGTTCATGAAGCCTCAGTTGGCTGACCCTGAGCCACAGCGTGGGCCGTTCCTGAGGGTTGGGCGACAGTTGCAGCTCTTAGAATGTGCTAGTGATCTGTGTTTTCGGCTAATGTGATCACAGGGGGTATCGCTTCTTCGGTGCGCGGAGATTACAACCCTTTCCAACTCCCTCCCCCGGCCCCTCCCCCTGCCCCCCCCCCCCCCCCCCCCCTTCCCCCCTGGACGTCATTTGGCAGTTCGAGGCATACCTCTTGATGTACATGGTATGCTGACACTAGTGGGTGCCGCTGCGGTTTCTGTGTGAACTGTGTGGCGGTACCGTTTGTGCTGTCTTTGGAAGGCCTTTGCAGAGATACGGAAAGTCAAGGATGTGGGTATACTACCGGTTGGCATGCTGTATGCGGCTGATCAGTGGAGGCCTAACCGAGACCGGGAGGCGTTCATCGAGCATCCACTAGTGCGTGTGGACCCTGTCACCAAGAAGCCGCAGGTTGTGGGATGGCATGCAGAAAGATGGAGCTTTGGGATGAGGAGGAGATACCATGTGGATATGGCGGCATTTGCATTCAGTTCGGAATTGTTGTGGCGGGAGACGGATCCCTTAACGCAGCGTCCAAAACATCCTGTTCGGTTTTTCGAGACAGGGAAACGAGGACGACTTGAGACCAATTTCCTTGATAGGCTTATCGCGAACGAAACATATCTTGAGCCATTGGCGAATGGCTGCAGGGATGTTTGGGTCTGGCACCGGCATCAAGAAGCTGTCAGAAGTCAGGCTTTCCCTCGGTTATGGCTGGCGAATCATACTGTTGCTTACAATCCCTCGTTAGCAAATGCGAATGACCGGCTGCTGGACAAGTATGCTGAACCAAAACCCAAGGCAGATACAGGACCTCTAACGGAAAACAACGACACGACACCAGCTCAGACAAATCAGACTCTGCAATCATCTGTAACCGACGCAACCCATGGCGAGGGAAAGGACAGCAGCCCCAGACTTGCTGCAGGCTTGGTAGACGCAAACGGAACGACAGTGCAGTCCACAGGCGTGACTGTTAATGGCACGGGTACTTCACAGGTTTCGGCTGCTAGGGAAGCCTCGGGGACGGTTGGACAGCAGGCTTCACAAACAGCACAGAACAGAACGGTGCTGCCAAACGCCAACAGCACGGCACCGGAGCACAGGGATGGGAGGGTGGAAGCAACCCATGCGGAAGCTGTACTTGAGCATCCCAGAGCGGAGTCGGCTGCTAACACCGAAAAGAGCACGGAGCACAGGGAATTGGTCATCGATGACAACAAGGTCGAGGGAAATGCATCGGCAGTTGTACCTATTGAGACAGGAGAGGGAGACAACCCAAGTAAGCCTTGGGTGCCGAGGAAAGCGCTTGGCAGAAGTCCGCCAGAGACCGATCAAACTCAGGACAGGGAAGGTTCTGTCGACACGAACGGTTTGCGGAATCCGGAATGGGATAAGACACAAGCTGTAGATGCAAATGCACTGAAGAGAGATGAAGCCGGTGGTCCGAAGCGAGACCCAGACGCTGCAGTGACGCCTGTCGACGCCAAGAAGCCGGCTGAGATACGTCTAGCTGACACGAAAGGGTCGACCAATGAGACTGCGACAGAAGCAGGAGCAGGCAAAGCAGTTGAGAAGGAAGAGAGACGCCTTAGTGGGCAGCAGGGGTAGATGGTCAACCTAATCGAGAGTGGAGCAGTTAAACATTCATTGCAGTGACAGCTGAAGCACCTGAAGTGGTGGGAAATACCCCCTGCCTCAGTTTCCAGATGAAGATGGGTGAAGATGGGTGAAGATGGGTGAAGATGGGTGAATATGGGGAACGGGAGGGCGGTCTCATGGACAAAGAACATGGAATGAGCACACACTGCTCGTGGTGTTGTGTATCTGCTAATTTGGCATAGTGGAGGCACTGGAGGGGAAATATGCCGACTGTGGCATGAACATCATGCAGCGATCAGGCAGAATGACAGGTCGTCAAGTCGTGGGATGCGAGCAGAGTGGAGTAGTGGCAAGTGAAGTCTTGGGAGCTGAGCAGAGCGGCGTTGTGCTGCTGTCGAATGGTTGTCGGTACATGTTATCGAGTGGAGTCTCTGAGACGGACGAGCGTGCTGTAGCGTGGAACATGAAGCACATGAGAATCTGTTGCAGCAACAATTGGATGGGGAGAGAAGATCGACCGAGTGGGAATGTCAAAGATTGCTGCCCTTGGTGAGTGTCTTGGTTTTACTTCTCTGGGAGGTAAGCTGAACAGAATTTGAGCAGTCGGGACCAACTCTTGGGACTACTACTACTCCTGGGACTACTACTACTCCTGGGACTACCCTTGGAAGGAGGGTACATTTACTAAAGGTTGAAGGAAAGCCTCTTACGGGAGTGTGGGGTTTATTATTATGGGTCCTGCGACTTCAATAATGGAAGCATGGCGCAAGGAGGAAGGCGGTTTATTGCGATGTCGCACGACACATTGTGGAGTGCTGTGATGCGTTGTAATGCTCTTTGTACTGTGAGTGTGCACAGATAGCCATTGTGATATCCGTTATGGTCGCCGGGGCGCAGATAGCTGTTGTGATAGTCGGTTGTTTATAATCCTTTGGCCTTTGGTCAGGGAGCGGACTCTGTCGATCGGCATGGGGATTATTCATTTCCAATAAGCTGTACAAAAGGTACCTTGCAAAGCTTTTTTTGGGGTTTTGTGGGGTGGAACAACAAGTCTTCCCGTACAGAAGAGGACCCTTCTTTTACAGGTGTCTGCAAGGCCTGTTGTTCAGACTTTCTTGGTTAATGGGGTGTCGTGTTACACTTATTGACGTTGGGAGGGCATGCATGCTCTCTACGGGAGCATGACGTCAATGCCTGTGAAGAATGACTACTGGTACGCTGTAAATTTGCGAGAAATCATGAAATTGCATGTCCACAGACCGCTTTCATTGTCGATATCCTCTCTCCGACTGGTTGGATTGAATGTATGGAACGTGATGTGGTGTTTGTTGCCGTCACCTCTTAAAGAGGGCAGAGGATGGGAAACGATAGAGGATGCGGTTGTGCTGCAGAGGCAAGTTTTTGAAACGACGCGAAGGAGCGAAATATTTGAGCAGTAGCAGAGCTTCTTTCAAGGGAAAAATGGCGGCGGGTGTTATGCAGAAGAGTGGGGTAATTGCTAACAAAAGAGGTAGGGAGAGGTGATAAGTCTTCTCAAGTGGGCAGGGAAGAAGTGGCGATTTCGTTATAGAATGCGAGTTGCGGTGTTTTGATGGACTGTTAACTTGTGATAGGCGGCAATAAAGGACGGCCATGGAGTCGAGACGCGGCGCGGTGCAGTTTGCACAGCATCCAAAGTTGGCTCCTTCAGCAGGATGCTGCTGCTGGCTGGGAGCTAACTTGATGTGTTGTTCCGCGTTCTAAACACGGTTCAAGGACGTTATTAATAATAATATGGTTGCTGGGAGAGGGAGAGGGAGAGCAGAGCTCGACAGTTCGTGGGCTGATGGGGATGTGTGCTTGACTTGGCTGTCCTTCGGAGGCCTGCTCCTGGATGATGGACATGACTTTGCCTAGGTTATTCGGACTCCGCGGGCGGATGGCGGAGTCGCCCATCCAAACCGAAGAGAAGGCGTGGGATACGCCAATAAGACGGACAGAAGTCTTGCTGGAACCACCCGTCGACAACATGCGAATGTGGATGTGATCGGCATTTTTGCTGGAACCACCCGTCGGGAATATGCGAATGCGAACGTGGACGTGATCGGGATTATTTTGTGCATCCTAGCCTGTACGCTTTCCGTGGCTGGTTGCTCAGCTTGAGGTTAGTGTGATGGCTATGCTGTCCGCAATATCACCTCCCTTGCTGGGAACTAGGAACCATGGCTGTGTGTGTGTGTGTGTGTGTGTGTGTGTGTGTGTGTGTGTGTGTGTGTGTGAGAGAGAGAGAGAG